GGTCCCTGATGCTTTTGCTAAGCTTGTTCTAAGTAGGTGCTTTAGACCACTGAGCCATCTCTCCAGCCCCCAAAAAGTTTTTAAATTAACCTTTTTTTTTTTTTTTTTTTCGGAACTGGGGATTGAACTCAGGCCTTGTGCTTGCCAGGGAAGCACTTATTCTACTGAGCCATCTCCCCTCCCCTCTTTTTTTTTGAGACAGGGTCTTGCTATGCAGTTCAAGCTGGCCTTCAGCTCATTTTATAGCCCAGGCTGGTCTCGAACTTGCAATGATCCTCCTGCTCCAGCCTCCTGAGTGCTGGGATTATAGTCATGTGCCATCACACCCAGCCTAAATTAACTTTTAATTTTATTTATTTAAATAGTTTCCTATCTTTTTTTAAAAATTTATTTGTGTGTGTGTGTGTGTGTGTGTGTGTGTGTGGCCAGCTCAGCCCACCAGGGGGCGGGGCTGGCTAACATGTAGTGCTGGGGGATTGAACTGTGTGCTTTGCTAAGCTTGTTCTAAGTAGGTGCTATAGACCACTGAGCCATTTCACCAGCCCTAACTTTTAATTTTAGAATTAAAATTATAGAAACTTATTCTAAATGATAAAAAAATTGCAAAGATAATTCAGAGGATTTACATATACCCCACATCTGGTTTTCCCTACCTTTTTTCTTTTTTTCGCAACTAGGGATCAAACTTAGGACCTTGTGCTTGCCAGGCAGGTGTTTAAGCCACTGAGCTATCTCTCTGGCACGGTTTTTACCTATTAACATCTTGAATTAATATGGTACATTTGTCATAATTAATGATCCCCCGGTACTGCAAAAAAACAAAAAACAATACTGGTATATTTTACTTTTAACTAAAGTCTGTGTTTTATTCACATGTCCTTGATTTTTGCTTATATCCCTGCTTGTATATCCCATTTTGAGATTATCTTCTGTTTAACTTTGCGTTTATGTGCATATTTGTTGAGGTGTGTATCTATTATAGTGAATTATTTTCTCAGGATAGATACCCAAGGTAGAGCTAATGGACTCAACATTGTGGACATTTTTATGGCTCTTAACATTCATTATCAAATTGTTTCCCAACAAACTTTTTTTCTTTTAAAAATCTTGAGGGGCCTGGCCCTTAGCTCAGTTCTTTAAGTGGCTGCTTCAACAAAGCAGTCAGGCTCAGATTGCTGTGGTTCAATCCCCACAACTCAAGCCAGCCAAAAAAAAAAAAAAAAAAAAAAAAATCCTTCTGCCTTGGCGAACTCAAGGACCTGAGTTCAATTCCTGGTTCTTCCAAAAGTAAATAAAAATCTTGTATGGGGTAGAGTATTTGCCTAGAAGGCACAGGCCTGAGGTTTGATTCCCAGTACTACTAAAAAAGAAAAAATAAAGTAATTTTGTATAATTTTTTTCCATTGAATTATTTGTTTTTCCTTTGTGGTACTGGGGATGGAGTGCAGGATTTCCTAATGTTAGGCAAGCACTCTAGCATTGAGCTACACTCCCAAGACCCTTTTGCACATTTGTGAAATTGAAATGTACCTTATACTTTTTTGGGGGTGGGGGGATTGAACTGAGGACATTGTGCTTGCCAAGCAGGCACTTATGCTGCTGAACTATCTCCCTGACCCTCGAATGTGCCTTATACTTATGTATGCATTTAATGTCTAAGCAGAATATCTCCACATGTATTAGGAATGAGTTCCAAGTCTTTATTATCACTAGTGATGTGTGACATCATACTGAGGCCTTCACCTGGCTTTATCTCCTAGAAGATTGTAACTCCCATAAAACTACAAGGATGTCCAACAGGAAAGAAAATCACAGAATCTCAAAAAGGGTGTTAGTGTCTGAGGTCATAAGACTTTGCCCATACAGACCTATTTTATTTGTATTTATTTATTTATTATTATTATTATTATTTTTTGGCGGAACCGGGGATTGAACTCAGACTCTTGTGTTTGCCAGGCAAGTGCTTATTCTACTGAGCCATCTCCCCGGCCCCTATACAGACCTATTTTAGCAACCTTTTCACAATAAGTAAATTAGGTTTTTTTTTGATACTGGGAATTGAACTCAGGACCTTACAATTGCTAGGCAGGCACTGCTATGAGCTATATCCCAGTCCAGTAGATTCATTTTCAGAATAACTCTCACAAATCAGTAGACAAAAAAAATGCATTTATTCATTAAGCAACTGTTATATTGACATAAACATAAAGTGAATTGCAAAAGTACCACAAAGATCCAGGTGTGGTGATGCATGCCTGTAATCCCAGCACTTGTATTCTTTTTTTTTTTTTTATTTTTTTTAATTTATTTATTTTTATTTATTACATTTATTTATTGTGTTTGTGTGTGGCCAGCTCAGCCCACCAGGGGGCGGGGCTGGCTGGCATG